GGTGGCCTGGTGGGGCTCCCAGTGGCACGGGAGCCCCCAGGAAATACCAGGCCAGTTACCACCCCGGTGAAAGGGGGGTTGGGGTGCCTTAACCCCCAGCCCCCACAACCAGGTGGGTTACCCCTTGTTTGGAGGGCCTGGCGGGTGGACCCTTGGAGAGAGAGAAAAAGACCATACACTCAGGCCTGTCTGAACTTCCCCTGACTGGTCGATGCGGGGCCAGGATGGGAAGGGTCAAGGGGCCGGGGGCCCACCGTGAGGGACGCCCAAGAGCTGTGCGCCTGGGGTCCTGACTGGCTGGGAGGTGGGCCAGGGCTAGTGAGCCAAAGGTCCTGGCAGGGGGGGATCACACCTGAAGGGGAAGTGGTTCAGGGAGCTATGCTGCCCGGTATGAAGGCGGATGAGACTGCCTGAGGGGAGGAATCCAGGCGGGGTTCAATTAGGGTGATTCTGGGGCCCAGTATGGGGGCTGATGATTAGAGGAACATCTAGATGCCATCTGCAAGGCTTGGGCTGCCATGTAGGGGAGGAATGGAGCTGCAGATAGTGCCCCCTGGCATTGAGGCAGGAAATGGGCAGCCTCCTGCTTTATTAAGATCAATTAAACAATTAATTCCAACAAGGCATGGTGGGTGAGAAGGTGGGCAGTTAGCCTGGAAAGAGGTGGGCAGGCCACAATGAGATTGGCCCTGAGGAGGCCCCATTACAGACTATTATAACTTATACCTTTTAGTTCTGGTGGTCCTGTGCAGACTCTAATACTAATAACTTCCTTCTATCAAACACTTCCTCCACTATTCCTCATTTAAAAACAATGAATTCATACTTCTGAGAGTTGGGGGTGTCATTGAAAGTCTTCCTTTGGAAATTTCTTATTACATCTCTTTTGTTCTTTGTGCCTGGAAGCCTGAGTTGTAAGACATTGCTGCTGTGTCTGCAGTACTCTTACTGTTTGTGACTAGTTGGTTGCAGAGTGATTGCCAGATGGCTGGCAACTAAAAACAGCTGTGAATAAAATTAAACATCTGGAGTAGGGTTTTTTCACCTGTGAGTTTTACACTGCAATCACACAGAGTACAGAAAATAATTGCAGCTGAAATTATTGATAGGTCACATTGTGGTGTATCCTTCAACCTTTAAAATCCGCCTCCTAGTGTTTGAATTTATAAGCAGGAAAGCAAACTACTTGAGAAACATCCAAGATGCAACCCATAGGAAACTCACTTATAGAGGCTGCTTCTAAAGCTCAGTTATATTAATAATGGTAAAACTGGGAGACTCAAGAAAGACATGTTTTATTTAAAGTGTGAAATGCAAACCATGTCCCCTCCTAAATCCAGCCTATGCAACTAGGTACTCCTGGGAAGAGAGATGTTATTTGGGTCTAAAACTGACACATTTCTTGGGGTGCTTGCTTCTTTTTTTGCCTAATTAAAGATGCATTGAAATATCTGAAGAAGATATTTTACAACATGATGAGAGTAAAGCTAATAATTTGGTTGATGGTAGTCAAGCACTGGAAGAGGCTACCTTGAGAAACTGTGGAATCTCCATCCTTGGAAATTTTCCAAAGCAGACTGGACAGATGCTTGGCTGGATGGCTTAGTCAGGGATGATCCTGTCTCAAACAGACTGGACTAGACAACCTTGCGAGGCTTCTCTAGCCCTGCCAGGAGTATAGGGACGCAGCTGGGCACCAGGGCAAAGTGCGAACAGCAACCTACAGTTTGCAATCACAAACATGGCTGCCAGCAGCAGCTGCTTTTTTTTCCCCACCCTCCCACCAGGGGCAGTTGCCCCTATTGCTTTTGCCTCATTATTACACTACTGAGCCATTTTCCCTCTGCTATCACAGGCATTAACAACCAGCATTTCTTTACAAGTTGTCATGTGGCAGAATGTGAATTCTGTCTGAATACTGGTTTGTCTCTCTCCTATGAGAAAGTAGAGACCATAGTCCTAATTTAGTCCTAAATTGCCTTGGATGTGATAGAGCTATTTGCTTTAAGGTCTTCCCCTTATATAACTGCTATTTGAATCAAGTATAGAGTCATATGCATAATAAGGTTTCAGCGTGTTTCAGTCCCATGTCCATACTCAAACTGGGTTTTAATTGTGATAGAGCAATACATCCAGTAACCAGGTGGCTCAGTTCAGTAATTTTTGTAGGGCATGTGAGACCTTATTCTCTTATTTCATTCTTTTCAGTGCAGACTAAACAAAAGAGCAAAACAAAATTGAGCTTGTTTATATGGTCAAGCTCAATTTCATAGAGATGAGGCAGAAACTTTTGTTTATGAACTGAGATGCTGAGGGTATAGCCAAGTCTGTGGGGAAAGTTATTGACAGACCCTAAATTTCCTCTGAGGACACTACAGATATCTCCTACCCCCAGGATCTGGATTAACAATCCATCAAATTTCATTCCCAGTACGGAAGTATTTGCAGGAAAAGGTCTGAATTAGCAAGCAGCATTGAGCTTGAAGCTACGCTGGAAGGTCACTGCAGCGGAGAAACTGACATTTTCACTTTGGAATATTTGGCAATGACTTGACAACAGCATAGCTAATAACATACCCCATGCTGCTCTTATTTCCAAATTAGTGTGCGATAGCTCTAGTCAAATGGCATCTCATCAGATAAACATCTGAGCTAGCTAGGCTCATTCTAAAGTGCTTCTTTGATGGTGGAGTGCGCATTTCGTTTAGCAATACCACTGCTTATTGGGATCCGTTAGACTACCTCTACTTCTCATGTGTGCAACTTCAGCTGTTTGCCTAACGAACAAAAGAAATTATTTGTTCTTGATCACCTCTCAGACTGATATAACGCAGAAAAGCACAGCCCCCCCTAGGATATTATTTGGTGGTTTCTATGGCCAAATACAATTCTTTTCCCCCAGTTCTCTGGTCTGACTGAAATGTCTTTTGGCAATGGCAGTTCAGTCCCTAGAGGGCCCCACAGGATAAACAGTCCACATCAAAAAGCTACCACATGCATGTATTTGACAAGATAGCTTCTATTTGGAGAGTGCTCACAGTAAGTAGCATAGAAGCTAAATTACCTTCTATTCCTTTTGAGTGAGAAGCAAATCAATTTAGGGCAAGTCCCCCCTCCAGAATACATCCACTGGAAGTTATTAAAGGTTGTGTGAGCTTAGAGTTACTGTACCCTACATATAGGCAGAGCACACTATACTAATATAGTATATTACCTTCCTATACAATTATAAACAACTCTATTAAAAATCCATGCTATTTTTCTACTTCCTATTGAAAACCTTCAAATGAGATGCTCATGTCATATATTCAAGTAATCATTGTTCTGAAAGTATTTAACCTTTCCCTTATTTTTAAAAAGAGAACCAGTAGCAGTTTAACTGTTTCAAATGGTTTTTCTTTAATTAAGCCATTATAATGACTTAGGATTGTGTTTTTATTAAAAAACCCGAAAGCAGTAAGTAGCAGAAAATATTGTATGTGGTCTGAAATTGCTATTAAGGGTGGATCATAACATCTTATCTTCAAGCAGAGCCAAATTTTATACCTGGTCCCTAAACATACAACTGGTTAATAACCCTATTGTGAAGATGAAAGCGTAATGCCATATTAACTTACTGCACCACAAAACTTCTTGTTATAAAGTATATTTTTAATAGCCAAGCCTTAAATATAAAAAAAACCACTCAGTTTAATAAGTTTTTATTTCCAAACGAGTTTGCAAAAATATTCCATTACAGAACATGTAACAGGTGCAGTGTCCTAAGTATGCATCAGAACAGTGAAACCATGCATCCTTTAACATTAAATCAGTAGGCACTTAAACATAAAACAAAGTATAAATTAAATAAGCTAATCAATATCTCAATAATACACCTTCATCTGGGTTTTCTGCAATAAAAACACAGAAAGTGCATTGCAATAAAAATACAGTGGCATTGCATGCCTCCTAAACCCTGCAAAGAGACGTTTATACAGTTTACTGTGCACATCCTAAACACAGGTGGGAGCAGACAATATCAAGTTTATATCTGAAAGCAAACAGATTTAGTGATGGTAGATTTTTTTTAAAGAGACTTTTTTACAATAACAGTTGCAGAGCTTACACTATCAGCATTATTTGGTGTTATGTTCATGGAATGCAGTTATAACAGCTCAAAGGTGTGTCATAACTGCTATGATATTCACCTACAAAAGAAACAGAATAAAAATGAATTTAAATAATACTCATTTCTAGAATCTCCCTATTTTATTTACTGCACTTGACTTGAATCAGTCCATCAAATAAACTAACATGAAAATAGAAATGGTCCATAAAATCCTGCTAACTCCTTGACCTGCCCCAGTTGAGGTGATTGGCATCTGTCTTTTTTGCAACTGTCTGCGGGCATAATTAATATCACCAATATGCCTAGCTACCTGAAATGTACAATCAGTTAGCTGGCTTTCAAAAGAACAGATCCTGCAACTTGATCTCCCCCAGGTTCACTTCTGTCCCTGCACTTAAATGATTCAGTTTAAAAAGTGCTTAAGAAAAGACAGGGGGTATTTTTAAGGAACTCACCCATAATTTAGTGAAAGAGCTGAGAAGCCTGGCAGGCTGCTTCCTTACAGCCTTGCTGTGAGGAATCTGTCCCTGTCAGGCACTGAACTGAAGAAAAAGGATAAAAAGCCAGCAATCTTGTATTTAAGGAGAATATCCTTCCATAGTCATCAGTACTACTCATTCCTATGTCTTTTCTTCAGGATTCTATGAAATAATAGTTAGATTATTAAACACTTTCATCACTTCAAAAATAATTCTCTCTCTCACTGCAGAAAAACACCATTACCTTCCTCCAACATAAAGCATACTCAGCATATCTGCCATCACACTGCCAAAACTGCATAACATTTCCATGGTGGAAGAATGAGTTACCTATTACTTGACACCAGAGTGAGGAATCTGTTCCTATTGGGACTTAACTGAACCACCAGACTACAAAAAAGAAGCTCTAACATTTAAGCCAAAGAAATAGAGTTGTGCTGTATTAATCTTTATAGCCGGTGTTTGCCAACACATGTCACAAGGTAGCATCTTAGAATAGGAAATAGCTATGAGCGGTGTCATTTCTAGTAGCAAATGGTGACTTCATAAAAGGAGATCACTCAGTACAGTAAGAGCCTTCCTTGACAGGAGACCTGAAAATGAAAGAGACTGTGCTCAATCTACAGCTGAAGCATTGTAAATTCAAGTATTACCCGACCATGAACTCCTCAAGCTAAGAGCTGTCAACTTCAGACCTAAAGAGACTACTGCACAAGAATATAATGATGTGAAGCAAACATATGCCAGCAATCAGAGTCCTGAAAACCAAAGGAAGTTGATTTGGAAGGATGGATACACACACAGAATATGCCACAGGCTGGGTCCTGCAGACACTTATGCATGAGGGTAACCATATTCAAGTAAAGCCCCATTGAGCTCATGTTTACAACTGCACTCATGGGTTTCATGTTAATATTAGTGATAGAGCAGTGAGAGATCATCAAGTCAAAAACTGCTTTTAAAGAGTTGTACAAACATTAAGTGCTACAGAAGACCAGACCCTGCTAGAATGCTCCTTACGGGGAGTTCAGCAGAGGAACAAGACCTAAATGACAGTAATACCAGGCATGTTTACACATCCTTAAATAGGTGCATAGGCCTTTTCCCTTAACAGATTAAAACATTTTTAGGACCAGAAGAAGGGACTGCTAGAGCACCTAGTGAGACTTTTGTACCAAGGCTATAGAATTTCAATGTGACTGAATCATATAATTATTTCAAGCTTATTGTATAAACAAAAGGAGATGAGGGTGTCGGGTAATACTTAGCTTGGAGAAATATGATTAAATCCTCTGAACATTTTGGGGATGCTTATTTATGGATCTGGTTTGAGACCTTGGGGTTGAAGAGGCCTACTGAATAAGCCATTTTGTAGTTGCATATTCTATGCTGCCTGAAACAATGTACTGCTGCCAAACTGTGACATACTTAAAAACAATGTTTCTATTTATAGTTGTCATTTCTGGACCTACTGATGGTGGACAGTTTGCTAAACAAGATGCCTAGGTTGGCATAATGGTGACTTCTCCAAGTTTATAACCAAGCAATATCAGATCTGTTCTGATACTGGTTTGACAATCATACAAAATAACTGATGGATACTCAACTGAAATGTATAATAGTTAAATACTGAGTGGAAGTTGAAACTGATAAGCTTCCTTCAGCATTTGAGTCCTACTGGGAAACAAACCATTAAATGCAGAAAAACAGAGACAAAAGCAGACAAGAAGGATTTAAACTAACAATACTGCAAGTCGGTCATTAGCAAGGGCATTGTCAGCCTCGGCCTCCGAGGTGCACTTTGGGATTGTTAGCATGCTCCTAATAATGTTTTTATTTTTAGAAATCTAATATGCTTACTCTGCCAAAGTGACAAATGAAAGATATCATAGATGCAGCCCTGCTCAAAACATTGGCGCCTGATGGTCTGTGTCACTGTCTTGGGCACGTACTGTCATGACATCCATATCACCAGAGCTATGACCAGTGCAGATGACTGCTGGATGGATCATCATTTGATATGTTCCACCGTGTTCATTTGTATCACCCCAAAATGATGTAAACAAAAGAAGCAATCAAAGAAGAGGTTCAATATTGAGTGCTTTAAAGAGCCTGCTAAGAGCAATCATCTCCAGCAGTGCTTCAGTGAGAAACTCTGACCTCCCTGATGATCTCAACACTACTGATCTGCAGGGGGGTGTTCCCTGTTAATTAAGGGCCAGCCTGCACTCTTGCAGCTGTGGCTCCACACAGTCAGTTTAGCCTGCTATGTCCTCTTAAAGGGACAGGAGCCTCCTGCCTCCCCACTGTAATCCCCTCTCCTCCCTTTCCATTATACCGGAGTAACGGGATTTGGGTCTCTTGTTACACCTCCATCTCAACTGGAAGGACAGAAGAATGAATGCCGGCATTTTGACTCACGCCCACACCACCAGCACCGAAGCCAGGTTTAGGCTCTACCAGCTCCATTGGATGAGATGTGTCATAATGGTGCCTGGCAATAGGTTCTCAACTCGCAATGGTCACCATTCCAGAGGTGGGCAAAAGAAGAGACTCAAGAAGGCCAAGCTGAAGAAATACAATGTTGACCTCAATACCTGGGACACTCAAGCACTGAATTGTCCCTAATGATAAATGATGCATCAATTATTTTGAGCAAAATTACCTCACTATGGAGGCAGACAAGAGAGACAAAGGGAAAGAGCTGTAACCTGACATCACCAGGATCAAGCCCTTCCTCCCAGAACTTTTACCACAATCGAAGCGCATACTGCAGCCTTCTCAGTCATCTACGGGCTCACTGGCTGCATCTACATGAGATGCTGACAGCACAGTCGTTACTGTGCAGTCACTTAATACTTGTATAAACAAGTACTAAATGACTGTGCAGTAACCCACATTACTGTGCAGTAGCACCAATGAATGGCTTTTTTGTGATACTGACTGTGCAGTAGCCCAAGAACACTGTGCAGTTAGCATCTTGTGTAGATGTGGCCCCTGATAATTTCTTCTGGAAGACTCCTGATAACCATGGAGTCTTGCCATCACCATAAACTCTGCTTTCTCCCTTAGCATACTATAACATTTGAAAACCAACACGCATAAAAATGATTGCTGCAAATATTATGTAACAATAAGTGCAAGGCAATTTTTAACCTCCATTTCAGAGTATTTAATCAAAACTGCTTTTAGCTTAGACTTGTGTAAGTGTTATAAACATTTCACAGCCCAAATGCAAAATGTATTTATTCACTACTAACCAAGTGGTGATGAAACAATATTTTGCTCAGTTATTCACTACAGTGACTGCAATTTTTAAGTCTGAGTCAGCTAACTGGACTTAATTACATATAAACCTGAATAGTAGTTTCTACAAAATGTATACCAGTTAATGTGAAGAAACAGCCACAAAGTATGTTGCAGAAGGCCAAAGTAAAGTTAGCACATGACCTGTCTTACTATAAATTAGAAGCCAATACAAATAAAATCAATTCACACATTAACTTTGGGGCTGAGCATATTAAAAAAAAATTAAAATAGGTCATTAAAGTAAGACCTAGGCTACATATTTATACTATTGAGAATTAGAGATTTGTAGTTTGTGAGACCAATTTGGGACAATCCAATTGTATACTCTTCATGGCTAGGGACAGATATTACACACAAACTGGTTTAAGTGACCAGAAACTGGTTTAAACTTGTAACAGAACAGATGTTTAGTGTACATAAACCAGTCTGAAAATGGTTGAAACTGGTTTGAGATAAACCTGGTTGAATGTTATATCAGATTTAACTGATTTGGGTCAAACTGGTTTATGCAGTGTCTGTAGCCAGACCATTTCCTGGTTTAAGATAAACCAGATTCCCCCAGCATCCCAGCATACTCTTCACTGTGCACAGGTGTTAGTGATAAGGGTGCAAAGGACAACACTATAGGAGTGATTCTGATTATGTTCAGTGGAGATCCCTAGATGTCCTAACACTTATATTGGCTAACTAGAAGTCAGACAGTTGGAGGAAAAAAATTAAGAGGATGACAGATTGTGCAGTGGGTTTTCCTGGCTGACAGGCTTACCCTGTAGATCTGTCTGAGGGAGCTGTTCATACGATGCATTCATCTTTATTTCCATTACTATTTATGCAGACCGAGAGTGAATTATGGGTTTTGTAAACATCTCTCCCAGGCTGAGCTCTAACAGATGCAGTCAAGCAGGAAATGCAGCATAAAAGGAGTTTTACATGTCAGAGTGGGGATATGGAAAAGACAGAAACATGTTCACTAGGGCCCTTCCCACTCAAAAACACTCTGAAGGAATGTGTTGTGGTTCAGAAGGACAACAGATGTGGGGTCTGTGTGGAAGGTGGGGTCAGAGCGATGTGTTACATGACCTACTCTTATCCAGGATCACCCCTATGCATTTCACTAGGTTAAAGCTGGCATAAGCTGAGGATCCTGACTAAACACAGGTGTGTGTGTGTGTGTGTGTGTGTGTGTGTGTGTGTGTGTGAGATGTTCATGAGAATCTAGAATCCAGTGTTATGGGCTACAAGAAGGTTAAGTGCTCTGTTTCACACCTGGCTTCACTGCTTTTGGATATAGACTTGTAATAAACATGGGAATCACACATCTGTTTCACTAGACTCATTGAAGCTTATAGGCCATTCACATATTTGTGGGTGGCAGATTAGGGCCCTAAAGGAATCTTTTTTTTTATAGAATTTTGCAACAAATTGACCATTCTGCTGAGAAACAGCCAGGATTCTCATGGACAGAAAGGATGAGGCTTGCATTTTTATTGAACCTGATCCTTCTGTCATCCCCACTGAGATTAATAATAGTTCTGAATGTGGCTTGACCAGCAGGACTAGAACCACAATGATTAATGAATATTCGAAGGGGAAATATTTTATTATAATTAAAATTGCTCCTATGATCAGAATGAAAAATATCTGAACAGTGTGGACATATGCTTTAAAAAAGATGTTTCAAAAGAGCATTTTTATGTTCAATGCATTTAAATAGTCTTTTCCCAATACTCTGTTATTAGCTGTGCTCAGTGAATGGAATAGCTATTGTTCTTTAGTCTAATGTATAGTGTAGAATTAGCGTTACATGGGGGAAATGATTTTGAGTAAACAAAACACCCAGTGTTGACCTACGT